AAGTGTGTAGCTTTCTCCTGGGCCACTTGGAGAAATAAAAAGGTTCATTTGCTCCCAACTGCTTCCCACATTCACTAGAGTTAACAATTACTTTAATTCAAACATAGCAATGGGTTGGTTAAATAGGTTTCATTAGCTTTAAGTTTATTAAGGACATAGGATAAGTGATGCCAAGGAAAACAAATTAAGATAGAAATGGTAACAAGCAAATAAAGGCAAAAACATGCATCTAAGCTTAAATCTAGCAAGGTACAATCTTTGTTTAAAATGGCTTCTTTCACCACTTTCTGCTGCCGCTCCAGCATGGCTGGCTGTCTCTCAGGACCTTCCAGAGAAGTTTGCAGTGCTAGTTCCCTTGTCATCTTTGGTGAAAGATAGAGATCAAGTTTCTCTCTGCTTCTTACGTTCCCACAGCGAGGAAGGCCTCTTGTGGGTTCAGTCTCCTATGTCTCTCTGGGGTGCAGGAGCCATGTTAATTCTCTGTCTCTTCAATCCAGGCTCAAGTCAACCTCCTCTGGTTTCCTTAATAGCTTTGTTTACAGCTAATATGTAAATTGAGGTAAACCCATATTCCTTTGCTAAGGACAGAGCCATTTATCACTTTTGCCAGGCTGTCTTCTTACACATGTTCTACAAACATTATACAGAGTGAATTCATAATTTCACATATAATGTTTTAACACATGCATTTTACAATGATATCAATGACTAGCATACTACTGTACTAGGTTTCAAATAATACTGAATATGGCATGGTTTTTGTGCAGAAATCATGCAGAAGTGTGTGGGATATGAATATGGGTGAGCTGAGGGTCACACATGGCACTCCCTGCAGTGACTGAACTCCCAGTCAGTATGGGGTGGTGCCCATGGCTCCTCCAATTCTGCTTAGTGATGACAAGGAAGCACCATTTGCCCCAAGCCCTGCAGACCTAAAATCCAGGCCCACAAATCTTCACAATTCCTTTGCCACACTACGGGTATGTCTACACTGCAAAGTTAATTCAGAATAACAGCCGTTATTCCGAATTAACTTCCATAGCGTCTACACAAGCAAATTAAATTCGAAATAGCAGGGCACTTAATTCGAGGATGCTTAATTTGGTAAACCTCATTCTACGAGGAGTAACGCCAAACTCGAATTAGCTAATTCGGAATAAGCGCTGTGTAGACGCTTAGTCTGAATTAGCTGGCCTCCAGCCCTTCCCAGTTTCCCCTGGTGGCCACTCTGGGCCAAACCAGAAAAACTCTTTTCCCTCCCCCCAGCCCCGGAGCTCTTAAAGGGGCAGACTCTGACCACAGTACCTGTGCCAGCTCCAAGCCTGCCGGCCCAGAGCCAGCAGTCACTGCCCCAACCCAATGGCCCCAAAACATGAGCCAGCAAGCCACTGGCAGCCAGCCCTCCACTGCTCCCCAGGACAGCCTGGCCACCAAATACCACATGCGAACCCAGGAGCAGGTTTATATGAAAATCAAGGTGGTCCGACGAGACCTCCAACCCTGAGCCCTGAGCTTCCCCTTCCCCTTCTTCCCCTTGCTTCCCCCTTCCAGCTCCCTCCTCCTAGGTTTTCCCCTCCCCTCTCCCACCCTCTCTTCTCCCCTCTCCCACCTCCTTTCCCCAGTCTCACCAGAGTTTCATTCCCCCTCCCCAGTTTTGTAACATAAAGAGAGTTTGTGTTCATGAAAATACATGTATTTTATTTGACATCAGGAAGGGGGGTTAGGGAAGGGTAAGTGGAAGGACGTGAGGGAGGAATGAAGCACAAGCCCCCATTGGGGCAGATCAGGGAGGCTCTTAGTGCTTCTCATGCTGGAAGCTCTCCTGCAGGGCCTCCTGGATACCGACAGCCCCCCAATGGACATCCTGGCTGGCAGCCTGCAGCAGGTGCAGTCAGGCAGATGGCACTGTGTTCACAAGATGCACCAGAGTGCCCAGGGGCAGCTCTGTCTCCATGTTGCAGAGTGCTATAGTGTCTCAAGTGAGGGCAACCAAAGCACTCCGAGACACAAATGCTTTGCTGTCCCACAGCAAGGCAGGCAGGCAAGCAAGCAGGAACACCTGAGAACCAGCTGCCAGGGGGTGGGCAGGGCGTCCCTTTAAGCACAGGCATCAGATAGCCTTAGGCAGCAGCCACACACAGACACTCCTGACCTTATGCCCTGCCTGACCTGGTTCTGGCTGGCCTTAAATCTGAGTCTGTGTCCAGTCAGTGTGGATGCAGTATTTCGAATGAGCAAAAATGCTAATTCGAGCTGCATTTTGTGTGTAGATGCATTAATTCAAATTAACTTAATTCGAATTAACTATTTCGAATTAAGATAATGTCTACACTACAGCATTAATTTGAGTTAATAGCATATTACAGGGCCTCACAATCCTGGTTTCCTGTGGAAGGAAAGATCCGTGGTGGAGAGCGAGGGTATTTTCTTAGTGTAATGTGTTTGATTTATGTGGCGTACGCTAGCTTTTGAATGGTATGCAGGAAAACCTCTTTTTCAGTAGTCTAAGCTCCACACACTAGTGCTGAGAACTGATTCCAGTTAAAAAGGATTAAGTCAGAGAGAAAATTCTCAGGGCATGTCTACATTCTGAAATAACTCCCCTTATTTTGAAATAACAAGGTAAGTGTCCACACTACCAAGCCTGTTTTGAAATAATGGGCTTGTTATTTTGAAATAACAACTCCTGCTTGTGAAGAGGAATAAGCTTATTTCAAAACAGTTATTTTGGTAGTTATTATTTCAAAATAAGCTATTTCTTATTACTCTACTGGTAGAGTAGACATAGCCTCAGACTTTTTGTAACAGCTTCCCCGCAAAAGGATCTGCATTACAAAACGAATACATCTTTCCCCCCTCTCAAATGCTGTACATTGCTGTAAGGCTATATATAAAACACCATCCAGTGACTTCTACCAGAACAAGTCTCATCTCTGGTATCTCCAGAGAATAATAAACTGGTAGCAAACGCTTCTTCCTCCCACCCAGCAGCTAGTATTGTTTTAATAACTGTTGGTGTTAAGTATATCTCCCTCATCCTTTCTTTGTGGCCCCAGCCAAAATACTCTCCTCATTCCAATTTTAGTTTAAAATTTGTATGTATTGCTCCCATTGCTGGGTCTTTGTTTGGAAAGCACAGAAGCTGCAAGCATATTCCTGTCAACACTCACCTCTGCAAAGAGGAAATGGCTCAGAACATCAGCCCTACATAGCAGGGCAGGAGGAGTAAGGGCTGCACCCCCTGAAAGGTCTGGACAACCAATCTACTGGTTGGTGACCACTGCCTTAGAAAGTAGTCTAGAAAACCAAGTGATCCTTTCTTCCCTCATTCCTCAGAGTTCATGAGTGTGTTTGTGGGGGGTAGGGTGGGGGGTAAGGAATAGGTCAGTGTCCAGCTGACCAGGTGCTAACTAGTGCCAGGGCCCCAGGTCTCAGCTGAATATTGACAAACATACACCTGGAACCAGTCTGGCTCACCTTTGTGTGAGTAATGTTAAAGTATGAGAATGATAAGAATGTGTTTTGTGTTTACACTTTTATGAAAATCTTGTAAATTGCTGCATAAATGATTCTCACGCACAATATCAGTATCCCATGTTATAATGTGATGTTTGAGTGCTTGAGCCGTAACTGTAAATAAATCACTAGCTAGGAGAGAAGCATTAACAAGTGTGACATATTAGTTTCCCACTAGGCAGTGTTAGCCTCCCAACCAATAAAGGCCGTGAACACCAGGTGAACTACTGTGAAACATCAGAAGACCAAAGACGTTGTTTGCTCTCCGCCTTCTGCTCCCAAAGAAGAGAAGTTTACGCTTGCTAGTTGGCTGGCAAAATTGAAATATAAACCTCACAACCAATTTGCCCTACCTGTAAACACTCTGTCCAGTGATCAGAGTTCATGCAGGACAGTTGATAGGAGATCGTTCTTCCTGGGTACGCAGCCCTGCTGGTGGCAATCCCCTCAGATGTCTCGAGCAGGCTGACAAAAAGCATCTAAGAACATTTGCGCTGGAGCTTTTAGCAGCGACTTTGTGGAGCTTAAAGCAAATGTGACCCATGGCTGAAGTACTCAGGGGGCAGCCTTCTGTATACCTGGGGAATCTGACCAGCTGTCTCCCTCCTGTGCGAGCAGAGTCACAGCTGCAATGCGTGGGCTTCTAAATGTGCGTAGGTGTGTCCAGAGCATGCCAAGAGCTTGGTGCCGCACTAGAAGCCCATCTGCCTGCCTGGGTAAGAGAGATGCAGAAAGAAACCTGGTATGCCCTAAGCAGTATTAGCTACAGGGTTGTGGTTGTTGTAGAGGCATAGCAATGTAGAAATCTTGTTTAAATAGCTGTATTTTAAAATGTTACTTTTGTTTACATATACATACCTGTGTGCATATAATTTTTGGCTGAAATAGTGAAGATTTCTGTAAATTGGGGCTTCTCTTTATAAACTGTCATGTTATACTGAGAACTGTGTGACTTTTCTTTTCACTTGGTTATTTACGCTATGTCTACACTATGAGCCTCTTCTGCAAGAGGAAATGCAAATGGAGAACTCATTCGCATATGTCGTGCTCTCATTTGTGTTTCCACCTCGGCTCCCTTTTGCACAAGAGGTTTTTGCACCAAAAAGCATTGTGTAGACGGCTCCTTTTTGCGCAAAAAACCCTCAGAAGAACAGCTCTTGTACAAAAGCACTTTTTTGCACAAAAACCTCTTGTGCAAAAGGGAACTGAGGAGGAAACACAAATGAGAGTGTGGCATATACAAATGGGTCTGATCCAGCGATATCTAAGGATCCCCACCCAGAGTCTTACTGAAGTGTCTGTCGCTGGCATCTCATTGCACAACTGGGACCTGGCTCAATTTATGTACTGTGTTTAAAGATATGGGGATCTGATCTTGTGAGGGATTGATCATCTTCATTCTCTCCTGCTAAGCATTTCAGAATTGGGCCTTATAAAAAGCTGCCTCTAGCAGTGCAAAGGATGATTATTGCTTATTTCCCTAGGTGGAGACTACAACAATGGTTCTGCTTCCTTTGGTATTGCCAATGCTGCTCACCTTCTCCAGTAACAACGTGGCGGGAGCGAGAGATCAAGAGGTGTTTTGTGGAGGTGAGTGATTGGTTGGTTGGTGTGGGATTTTTGCAATCTCATGCTTTGGCATTGCACAGATTAAAAAAAAAAAAAGAAGCTTATGACAATGTTTTCAAATGTAGGCTCCTAAATGCAGGGATCTAAGCCATACGTAGACTCTGTATTAAACCACCAGATTTCCAGAAGTGCTCAATGCTAGGGATGGTCAGGAAACTGAACTGGGGGAGGGGGGCGAATTTTGTTAACATTTCTTTAAAATGTTCACTTCTGGTTTTCATGTGTTTTCTGACCAATGGTCCTGAGCAATCACTGCTCTCTAACTGTTGCCTCTGCAGTCTGGAGGGAGATCCACCCACATCGTTTCCTCCTGGTGGTAGTCTCCTCCTTCCTGGAGCATACCAGGGCTCTTTGAAAGGGCCACTCCCTCTGGGAAATTCTAAGGGCTTCAGTCCCCATGGTGCTCCAGTGCATGGAAGAAGATGGCCATTTTCTTTTACATTAAAAAATAAATCCCTGTTCTATAACTGGCACGAGCACTGTAGCCAGACCGTGCCCCTTTAAGGGGTCCGGGGCCAGGATGGGGGCTGATAAATCCCTGTTCTATAGTGGCTAAACCTCTCTGCCTAAGGCCAAGTCTACACTAGACCCGGAAGGCATAGCTGGAGTCGGCATACCTTCAGCTGAGCTTGGTGCTGTCTTCACAGATGGAGGCTGACAGGAGCAAACATTCCCATTGGCTTTGCTTACACATTAAATTGTACACCAGAAGATCAATCTCCAGTTCATAGGTATAGATGTGGTCTAAGATATGGTTAAAGGAAGGGACCTTTCAGATTCCCATCCAACTGGCACTCAGGGTGTGGTGGATGTATCCAGCTGCATTGTGGGGATATTAGTTGCATGTTTCTGGTGCAGTAATCAGCCATCTAAAGATAACATTATCATTGTGGGGATATTAGTTGCATGTTTCTGGTGCAGTAATCAGCCATGTAAAGATAACATTATTGACTCTTATAGCTAGTAGCCTTTTAAAGTGCCTGGAAGGTTTTAGCACCTCTCTTAGTGCTGTATTCAACTCTCTGCAGTAAGTCAACAGTGCACACTTTTCTTTGCTGTCAGGATTAGAATCTTAATTTTTTAATCACGCGCTACCTTAGATTCAGTTGAAAGCAGCAGAATCTCCACAGGGAGACTTGGAATTGTTAGAAATTTGTATTTTTTCTGTCCCTGCAGATTCCTATTGTCCTTGTACACAAGCCACCAAATCAAGCAGTTATCATCTGGTATTGATTCTTCAGTCGTTACCAAGGTAGAAGTGATTCAAACAGTGGCCTAGATAAGAGTCTCCACAGCTCCTTGTCACTTCCTTCAGTCCTCTAGCCCTTTAAATCATATCTTGCCCTACAAACCTGCCTATGTCCTCACATCCTGAACTAGAGGGAGATAGCCTGGCTTTGTTCACTAGTGTTGCCTTGTATACAGGACCACACAGAGAGCACCTTTCATCCAGAGCTCCCTCATCTCGTTGGTGATTCCACCTGGCTCCAAATAACAAGGCTTTGGCATATATTGACAGTAGTGCACACAAGGGGAAAAACTCTCCATCTGTGGCCTCATAGCAGAGAGACAAGTGGCTGAATTTCTTAACAGATGGCTTAACAAACTACAAGAAACATGTGTCCCCCTGAGACACATAACCTGACATCAGATAGTTTCAACAACATATTGAAATAAATCCTCCCTCATGAATGCTGGGGCTTCAGATGCAGCCATATTTCAGTCCCAGGATCCCTTGACAAAGCCTTGGGTGATGCAAGTACAACAGTTTTGAGAGATACCACCCTGCATTCCCTGCAAACAGCAGAAGGAATCATGGTGCCAGGCTGAGCAGTGACTGAAATGGCCTAAAGATGCACAGTGATTAGAGAAACTGGGAGCTGAGGCATTAGTACCTGTCAGCAAATATTAGGTCTGTTGAAGCCAAGTATCCTCTTTGTTTTCATAACTGTTTGACTTTGTAATAGTTGTATCATTTTAGCTAGGCAAGAATACTTCCCACTCTATAATTCCTTATAACTTTGCCAAATTTTAGCAGTTTAGGCTGAAATTCCCCATGCCAGATGTCTGCATCAGGTTGAAATTCTGGGAAAATTTCTGCTAAAATGGTTTAGTTGTTTCCAAGAAAAATTAGGAAAAATAAGTTTTGCCCGTCTTATTTTTTTTTAAATTGAGAAGCTTTAATGTTCCCATATTTTAGAGTGGGGACTTGAAACTTGATACTGAAGTTTACCCTGGTTTCAGGAATGTATCTTTTGCTGCTACTACTTGTCTTTTTTATTTTAAAAAAAACCCACATTTGGCTAAATTGTAAATCTTGGAAAAATTGCAGTTCATTTGTGCTCAGTAAAGCCTTGTTAGATTTTGGCAGCTGAATTCTTCAGCAACAGCATTGACACTGAGCATTCTCTAGCTGAGGGCTGCAGGGACCACTATAATATTGGAAAATGGAGACGAGAGCTCAGCTATGCAGTTCGTGATCCCACTACTGCCACTCACGCATCGAGGAAGAGAAAGCTGTTTGAAATGCAGCTGTGACAAAAGACAGAGCAGGAGTGGAAGTGAGGTGATTTTAAACAGGGGGAACAGAAGCATGGAGAGATAAAGGTCAGAAGTGTCCACTAATTTTGAGTGCCCAATGTGGGTGCCTAGGACCTCATTTTTTAGAGTATTTAGCATTATATAGCACTCTATATGATCCAAGCACAGTTCCCATTGACTTCATTTGCAGTCAGGAGAGATTAGTACTTCTGTAAATCAAACTCCATATGTTGAACACCCAAAAAATGAGAAACAACATGGCTATCCATGAAAAGTTAGGTTTAAATGACTTTGTGGCACAAGTAGGAATAGAATCCAGTTCTCCATGGAAGTATACAGCTGCCTTAACCATGAGACCATCCTTTCTTTTCCTATAATCACCTGCTTCATTCTTCCAACTTTTGCAGCAAAAGAGATAGAGGTTCACCAAACAACCACTTTCATGAGCTGCAGCCTCCAAAGTTTTTTTTTTTAAAATGTAGTCTTTGTGTATGAGCTCTACTTATTTGTGAGAGATGAGGAGGGTGAGGTAACGTATTTTACTGGTAATATAGGAAATATCTTTTGTTTTTATGTACTTATTTATGGCGTGCAAAGCTGTGCTGAGTGCACAAAGGCATGATCACTACCTGAAACAGCTTACAGTCCAGTATAATATACAATAAAAGCTCCATTATCTGGCACTATGCTTTTAGGCAAAAGAGACAGAAGACAAAAGAGCAAGCTGAAATCAGGGATTTATTCAATAAAGCAGCTTCTAGGGTGTGTCTTAGGGTCATTACAGATTGAGCCCAATCTCCTACACCTTCTACATCAACAATGATAATTGATGTTGATAATGATACACAGTAAAAGTTCTGTTATCTGTCATGTTGTGGGAAAGCGGGGTGCTGGGTAATTGAATATTCTGGTTAACGGAGAGTTATACTTTACCAGTGGATATCCTCTGCGGTGGACTATACCAGTTCTGTAACAAAGGCATGCTGTACAATTGTACAAGACAGAAAGTGAAGGAAAGAACATCTTACCATTGTCTTGAATCATATGCAAAAAACTCAGTGTACTTAACCACAAAAAAAAGTCTTTTTTTTGTCTTGAATCATATGCAAAAAACTCAGTGTAGTTACTTAACCACAAAAAAAAGTTTTTTTTAAAAAAAAACCACTTATAGTCAAATAAAGACTATCTCTTAAGAGCACACTGCAAGCTTAATTTCTGATGCTACCATTAAATAAGGAAATACTATCTGATTAACTTGAAGCCTTTCATGATTATATCTTGAGTTGGAGGTCTCGTAAAAATGTATTCAAGATTTTAAACTGGGATCAGAGGACAGCCTGCATCTGGTCTCTAAGCAGTCTGAATGTGTTGCAATATTCTGATCTGTGGCTGATAAATACATTTATTTATCTGTTGTGGCAAACCAAATGGTGCTCAGAACTGAAATGTAAAATAAACATTTTTCTGTACTTCCACTATATTACTTGTACTGTCACAAATTCTCTTCCTCGGTTCCTGAACTTCAGTGCTTCTGGCTATATAACTTGTGATTGAACTAGCATGTATATTTTAAAAAGACATCCAGTCTTGATTCAAAGATTCCAAGTGATAGAGGGGGAACAAAACAGATTTTTTCCCTTAAAATAAACAAGATTGTTCCCTTTCACTCCCCACCTTCCCTGGTTCTCATCCCCAGAAGACTGTATACTATCCTCTTTTCATTCTCCAACTTCCTTTCTGAATTTGAGGGTGGTTCATTTTTTCTAAATTGCTTTTCCATTTGGGTAAATTGGACCAATCCAGTCATGTTCTGAAGCTAAGAATGCTTTTTGCTGAAGATTTATGTTCTTGTTATAGAACCTGTTCAGCAGAGTATAAATAGGTAATTTTCCAGACATAAAAATCCCCATAACTCAGTATTTGTTAAAAAAATAATTAATAAAGTATCTAAGCTACTTCAGCCTGACAAAGCCTAAAGCTTAATGTCTAGAGGAGTTAGTATGCCATGTGTGAACCTGTTTGCTAGACATTATGGTAGTTTCATAATAAGTGATACTGGCTTTTCTCCTAGAGGCTGTATCTACATTAGGGTTTTGGCAAAAAGGTACTACCATTGCTACCACTAGAGTTGTTCCTGGGAGGGTAACGATAGTGGGAACTCACGAGTACACTGAGTGCTGCAGTTTTTTTAGTGCTAGTGTCTAATCCTGCTTGAAGCAGATCTATAGGATGAGGTGTTAAACGTACTGCTGACTACAAGTATCTACACCAGTGCTTCCACTGGTGGAAAAATGCCCAGTATAGACAAATCATAAGGTAGATGCTCTTGACTTAGCATGTGGGAAAAAGAGAACTTATCACAGAGATGCTTAATTGCTTGGCAGACCCTTGGTCCTTGCTGGGCAATAGACCTGTGGCAG